TTAAACGTTTAGGGCTTAGGGTTTAAGGTTTAGGTTTAGGGTTTTCTGGGTTTAGGGCTTAAGGTTTAGGTTGAGGGTTTTCAGGGTTTTAGCGTTTAGGGCTTAGGGTGTAGGGGGTAAGGTTTAGGTTTAGCGTTATCAGGGTTTAGGGTTTAAGGTTTAGGTTTAGGATTTTCAGGGTTTAGGGCTTTGGGCGTAGGATTGCCCAGCAGCAGGAACCTCAGCCGTGGACATAATAAGCAATATAACAACGATAACGTAATAGTCGCGGGAACAATGGCAATAAGTGCAACCGTAGCAAGACATGATGAGACTAGATATAGGAGTAATAGTTCTAATCATCGCAATCATATTCGTCATAGTAACCATGGTAATTCGCGGAATAGCGGTAATAATATTGATAATAACCGTACTGTTGATTTTAACTCAACTTGCCTAAACCCTAAACCCCAAACCTATACCCTAGTCTTGCCATGGGCAGGTCGGCTTGAAGCACATGAAGTCCAAGGCGCCTTCAGGCTCGTGCGAGAGGAATTTGGACTTGGCATTGGAGGGAGCCTTGGCATTCTTGGGCCTTTGGGTTGAAGGTTTTGGGTTTGGAGTTTTAGGTTTAGGGTTTTGGGTTTTGGGTTGAGGGTTTAGGTGGGCTTTTGCTGCTGCCTCGTTCTGTTTGATGCTTAGGGATTTCCTGTAATGTGGTGCCCTGTTTTTGGAGGGGGTCCTGTTTTATGTCAAGTTTCTGCGGCATAGAGAGGATCTGCAATTGTTTATAGGGGCCCTTCTATTCTCAAGTGGCCCTAGATACTTGTTAGGAACCTGAAACTGCTTACCTCCAGCAAGAAGCCTCCAGCTTTAAATCCTGCAGGCTTGGATTCTTACCAATTTCAGAGGTTCAGTCAACCAATTACTTGGTTGACCTAGCCTCCAAGAATTATTTGTGGGGCCTATGTCCATTGGCAAATAGGGTTCTCTTCAAGACTTGTTTTGGGGTCTTCTTTAAAGTAAGAAATTTGGGGCTGCATGGCTGAAAATTGCAGGTTTCATGCTGCAGTTAGGAGTCCTCTCGCCAACAGTCATGACCCTGCTCATGGCAGTTCTGGCATTGTCTGGTTGGAGCCCCGAAGCCTAAATCCAAAACACAACGTTGTGAGCTTCACGCGGGTGAGCGAGCACTATCGAGGAGTTGTGCAGTTTGCGCCCATCTTGGAGATCTCCGTGAAGACCAATGGCGATACAGAAGCTCGGCCTAGAACAACAGCCCTAAGCCCTGCCTTCCCCCAAACGAAGACGAAAGCTGAAGAGCTGTCTGTTTTGTAGAATACTGTCATTTTTGGAGGGACCTCTTCCAGGTTTCATTCTATTTTGGGGAAGTGGAAACCCCCCAGGCACTATTCAGATGTTTAGCTGACCCACACTGCTGCGGGTACCCGGTTGCAACTGTGGTGTTTCCATTCTGTTCTGCTGAATCTCAAACCCCCAACCCTTTTCAATCTTAAACCCTAAATCCTAAACCTTAAATCCTGAACCCCAAACCCTAAACCCTTCTGAATCCTGAACCCTAAATTTGGCCACCCAGGAAGTGGCCATTGAAGGCTTAGCCAGAGCTTCATTGGATGGATTAATCAGCGTGACTGGCCTGCGACAAGCACTTTCGCCTTGGGTTTTTTGGTCTTCCTGGAAACCCTTATACATTCTTAGGGCTTTAAGATTTGGGGAAGCCTACCTGAGTAACCTATTTACCTAAAATCATGGCTTTATACCGAATATTTGAATATCTTTACCCTGTTTCAGGGTATAGGGTTACTCCAGGTAGGGTTTAGGAATTAAAAATGGAAAAGAAAATGGAGGCTACTATTTTTATGGGGTGGATATCTAGGAACTACTACAAGGATCTGTTGGTCCAGGGTTTAGCTCTTAAGGTTCAGAGATAATGTTTAGACATAATTTGTACTTGGTGACAAGCATCCAATGATTTGCAGTTATGTTGGGCACTTAACACCCGCCCTAAACCCTAACCCCTAAACCCCTAAACCCTAAAACCCTGAACCAGAAACCCTGAACTCCAATGCCAGAACTCCAAGTCTTCCGCTCTAAAATCATCCTTTCGTGCCCCTCTTGTTCTGAACGGTGAACCTTCAGCTATTACTTCAACTACTACCACGACTACCTACTACCACGACGACGACGACGACTACTACTACTACCACTACTATTACAACTACTATTACTACTACTACTACTACTACTACTACTACTACTAGTAGGCACATTTTACACAATTGACGACTCGTTTTTCTAGACATAGTCTTCTTGTCTTGTAAATTTTGCAGGCAAATTCGCTGGTATTTGCAGCACTTGTGTGTTTCCTCCCCGACTGTTTTGCACTTTTTCAGCCCCCCGTTGCCAGGC